AACGTTTTTATGAGAATTATATAAATTTAATTTTAAATTAAAAATTCGCGATGAATTTCAATAACTGATATATTTTTACCAAACTACTACAGAAAAAAATTTAAAAAAATGTGAATAGCACAACACAATGTTTTACTATTATAATTGGGTATAACACAATATAAGTATTTAAGTATGTTAATTTAATGATTTCAATAAATTAAGTGGAGAAATATCATTATGAGATATATTAGTTTTTCGTTGCAAGTTTGTTCTTAATAAAAATCGAAATTTAACGTAACTATATATTAGCGCATAAGAAATAGCTTATAGAATGGACAGATTGCGGTAAAATTCAACGATATTGATTAACGAAAAACGATACGAAACAAATAACCCACCTGTTGCCATATTATACAACACTGTTGCCATCGTCGTTAATATAATGTTTCAGGTGATTAAATGAACATATTTTGATCCTTTATTTAACTTTTATATTAATACAAATTAAACAAATAGAAATATTAACCTTATATGAGATAAGCATATATAGTAAAACAAATTTCAAAAAAGCTGTCCCAGGATAATGGGGATGGGTGCAGCCACTATTATAAGTGAGAAGTTGGGAAGGTAGTAGAGGGGAAATTCAATGTATGAATATATATACAGTGTGTCCCACCATGCTCGAAGGATTTTTTTAGAGTTGTTCATATTAAATATTCTTCAATTTTTTTTTTCTAAATTGATGTCCCCCTGTAAGCAAAGAAAAAAGAAATACGATTATAGGAAAATTTGGGTGATTTTCATCAAAATTTGAACTTAAACGTTTATTAAAAGAAAACTACTGCGTAATAACCAATTTAACCTTGTGTAAGATTATCAAGTATCTGGGTTTAATCGAACAATATTTATCCATATAACACCTACCAAATAAAAACTAAATAAATATTCGAAAATGTCATAATTCCAAAAAATAACTCAAACAGAGTGTTTTAAAAATTGTCCACGTCTATGAAATATTTAATAAAAATATTTTTTTTTAAAATTATATTTAATAATAATTTCAGTTCTCTATGATAATTTTTAACCAAATTACAATGAAAAAATAAAATTGAAATTAATGAAACCATTAATGTCGTAAACTTTCCTGTTTTTCCCCAGTTTTGACCAATTATAAAGAATATTGTTTGGGAAATGAAAAACTAATTCTCTTACTCACCAAGTAAACACAATATTTTCTTTGAGAAAAGACGCTTTCTTAAAACAAGATTTTCGATAGAAAACAAAAATTGAAAAATTTAAAATAATGAAATCGTAAACGCCATAAATTTGTTATTTATCTTTTACATTTTTTTTTCAAATTCATCTCATTATTATGAAAGTTGCTTGGACAATTTTAAAAATCACCATCTTGTTCACCAACCAGATCTAAAATTATATAAAAAATTGTCCTATTTCTTTTTGAATAGAAGATTTCGTGTAAAAACGTCATTTGTAGATGAAAAATTCCACAAATCCTAGTAAAACCAACTCAGAATATAAATAAAAAAAAAGGTTTAAAACCCTAAAATAATTAAAATAATTAAAATCTTCAGCTTTTACTGAAACTGAACCCTTATTTACACGGATTTACTCAAAAGAAACTGATTTTTAACGAAAATCTCTAACTTGTAGTTGTAAGTAATACTATGAAACGCCGCAGAAAGTGCTATTCGTTACTAACCTGCAGTTAGTAAAACGTTATAATGACAAGTTATAAGTAGGTAATGACTCAACCGTTGACTCACGTCAGTAAATCAGTTTCTCGCTATCCGTCGTTTCGCAGTTAGCGTATGCTAGGAAAAACCAGTGGTACCAATAGTAAGCATAGGTGTAATATGTACTATACTATTAAATTATTGTACCAGAAATCCAGAAAATATATCTTTGGTTAGACGATGAAAGCACATCAATTTGTCGTCTGAAAAATCGAGTTGTCTGGTTACAATTATTAATCAGCTGTGGGACTTTCCATAGATATACAGATAAATATGATATGTCTGTTTATATAAGTGATATCGATGGACATTACTTTCGATGTAATATAGGTGAACCTAAAATCGTCTTAATCGTCTCTTCTTTGTATTCCTGTAATAGCGTAGGGTAATGTACTATTATTATTTCTACATCACTGGAATCACTATACAAATCCATGAGAAGAGGTTTTGTAAAACCATAAAAATGAAGACCGTGCTTCCAAAACCACACAACACAAACCAATGGTTACTTTTGAGAAGGCCTCTCATGTACAAATTTAAGCCACCACTGCGTTATTAATTGATTAGTAATTAATACCTCAAACCTGCAGTTCCGTTTATTCTGAGTAGTTCCGTGTGAATACGTGTGATTTTTACTGTAACATATATAGTATTATAAATAATTATACATGTTGTCCCTCCGTGTTAGACGGATTTTTTTAGAACTGTTAATATTCATTTTTTTTAAAAAAACAGTCGTTTTGAAAATGACTGTAAAGTAAATGAATAGTTGTTTTATTTTTTTTTAGTAATTTGGAGATGAAAAAGAAAATTGTAATTTTCTTACAGACAGATGTCTCCCTCGAAACAAAACAAAAAAAAATTGAGTATTAACAACGCGAGAAAAAACCGTCGATGTGTATATTATTAAGTGTAATATACACGTCGACGGTCGTGGTAGCCGCGGCATTCCGTCTGACGTTTTCCGTCAATGGACCGGTATATATTTTGACTCTCCGTGTATATAATACGGCAGATGCGTCAATTTACGACCGCTAACCGGTAACCATACGATACCGCGTATTATGTTATTTTATACGAGAAATAATACGTTTCCACGGTCGCGGATTTCGGCGTTCGATTCCCGACGGTATATTATAGACGCGTGCATTATAACAACACACCTTCCCGCGCGACAATACGACGTGTAACGTATCGCGTACCCACCTATAATAATACTCCGGCTCCACGAATTATATTATCGGATTTCCATCGGAGAAAACCTAATAACCGGCCGCGGTAGTTAAAAAGGCAATATTATTATTGTACGTTGTATATTATATCACATTACGGCGGTGCAGTCGCCGGGAACGCGTGTCGGATTTATGAATGATCGCGGGCCAATAGCGAATTCGCCACATCCACTCGACTTATAAAATGCTCGCTCGGAACCCCTCGCATACAGCGACGATGATAATAATAATAACACGTATATATAGAACACACGTATCGCATTTACCCATCATTAAAGGCTTCAGCGGCGGCGGGATCCGCCCTCGGACGACCCGAGACTAATTCCCGTATACATATATAGAAATAATATATGTATATATGTACTCGTCCGAGCAATTGGAACCGAGATGATGAATTACCTCTATAATAAACATGTTATAAAATGCGTACAAAAAGAAGTGGGCCGGGGGATTGTTATGTACACTGCGCGATAAATGGTGTACGCTCTTTTTCGTCGCCTTTTTTTTTTTTTTTTTTTTTTTAATCGGGTTAAGTATGTTGAATGGAAAATTGAAAGGATATACTGAAAAAAAAAAATAATAATAATAATAAAAACGGTGAGTAGCGAAATTAGATGCAAAAATAAGCGCTTGTTCCAAGTACTACCGATTCTACGTCAACTGACTGGAAATAATGTGGTCAATGGTTCGTTTATTTAATTTTTAAAATATTATCTTGAGTACTAAAAAAAAATATATATTTCTATCTGCAATTGTCAGTTAGTAGTATAATGCATATATATATATATATAATATTATACTCGAATTTACCGTTAATAATTTAAAGAATTAAGCGTTCAAAAAATATAAAGGAAAAACACTTGGAAATAATAATTACACGTTTTAACACTGATAACGATTTCGGACGCTCAATTATTATTATTATAAATGTTACATATTATTATACAGTTATTAAACTATACATTAGTTATCCACTACAATTGTATATTATAACCCAGTGGTGACCAACCTTTTTTCTACAGAAGACCATAAAAATAAAATAACAATTCTTTGCGGGTCAAATTTTTATTTTTAAGTATTTTACTATAGGTTAGATACATCTTAATAAAGGTACAGTGGTATAATTATTTTTTTATTTTTATTATGTATAGATTATCATAAATGAGAAAAAAATGTTAAGTATAAATATATTATTTTTTTAATGTGAGTGTTAATTTTTGAAATTTGAAGTTATTGATTTAATATTTTGGCAGGCCAATTAATAAACAATCACGGGCCAGATTTGGCCTGTGGGCCGTAATTGATCACCACTGTAATACAAACCTTCATCATTATAAAACTCTTATGCATACAACAAAATTATTCACATTATTTCTCTAAATATAATATCATGTTTTATATTATACAATAGTATACTATTATACATATTATGCTTGTAATTATGCTTATATTATAATATTTTTTTTTTTTTTTTCGATAAGTTTTACATAAATAAAAAAAAAGCTGATAGGTACCTTCTAGTAATGTGTATGCCATTGTTTTTGGAGGAAGTTGAAAGGCAGGATGTATATAGAGTAATTTAATTTATATCTGTAGGTTATTATCCGCATTACTAACGAAAAACGATTCTTTGCAGATTATCATTACTTATTAGTCTTGAAATTCCCATAGAAATCAACAAAACTTCGTCAGTTTTTCACATTCATTAAGAAAAACTACAAGGAAAATCCCAAAACGATATTCTTATTACACCAACCGGACCGAAAATTCTATAAAAAAGTTCCTAATAAGTTTTTGACTAACGCAAAATTTCTGGTAGACAAATTGTTTACAGAAATAAAAAAAAAAAAAACACATCATAGTAAAACTAACACGTTCTTTGCGTCATTCAAAATCGAATAACATTAAATAAAAACTACAAATTAAGTAAATTTATTATTAAGTAATGGGTTATAGGAGGGGTTGGTTTTAACCAAGACGTATTGTTGCATTAGGTATTCAGCTGTATACCATCACGTTTCAAATTAAAACGATGAACCGTAGCCGGAGAAATAGGAGGTCGGATCCAGAACGCTGTACCCGACAGCGAAGTCATCCGGAAAAGATGATAGTTAATTCAGGTCTCAAGAATCTAGAATTGACTCCCGAATGTAGCGTTAAGACCGTTATGTTAGTGAAACCGGAGAACGGAATTTCACAGGAGAGGGTGGAAAATGACAAGTATATCGTTTTTTAATGTAATATCATCAATACTGTTTATTAGAATTGATTTGGTAAAACACAATATTCCGGAGTGACGTAATGTTTAGTTTACGCACATATTTCACAAGGGTATTCGTCCTCCATCGAGCTTTCAAGTGTCACGACCAAAAACATTTATCCGTAGCACTTATGTTTTAAAAAATATATTTCAAGATCTGAAGAATATGATAATATGATAAATAATATTTTTATAGTCGCGTGTAAATAAGATTGTAGGTATTTCGATGGTGCTTTTTGATTCGACTAATATCAAATATTGGACAAAATATGTGAACGTATTCATGCAAAATGTAAAAAAAAAAACAGTAAGAAGACCATTGGCGATTATGATTAACAAGTATTATTTAATCTGAATATATATTTCAGCCTGAAGCGTAAATAACGATTTAATTCATAATATAGTTAATTTAAAGTTTAATACATGATTGATTTGTTTTGTTTTCATACAATTTCGAAAAACCCTATCTATATTTAATTAAAAAAATACCTATAAACGCGTTTAAATATTGTACTGGACCAGTACAGTATAATATTTATATAATAATTGTATAGAACGAATGGATATCGGAGAAAAACAAATAGGATCCATCATAGTATGGTTTGATGATCGTTTATTATACATAACTAGGAATTAGGGTTTAAGTTTATAATATAAAATATAATAAATATCGATAAAATAATATGGACGTGCCTAGTACGTTCTGAAAGGGTTGTATAATAAACGATATTTCTTGGGGGCGTAACAGAGTTTATCGGACGTCTGCAAGACTGAGTCGCCCTATCACGTGTATAGCCGTTGCGATATAACACATCCGGGGATGAGGGAGGTTATACTATACACATATATATTGTTCCGTATTATTCGATACGGTTATTGTTTTTCATGTAGAAGGAAACACCGTAAAAAATAAAATATATATATTATACGATATTATTAATTTTTCTCCGCACATCATTTTTTTTTCTTTCTTATCGCCGCTCAACAGATGGCCATCCGAAGAAAAAAAATAATGGACGATCGTTCCGGTTGTTCGCCTATATACTTATATACATGCCCCCACCGACTTGGCTGCAGGTACACCTCCTCTTCCATCAGCTACGTCCGGAGGGAGTATACGATTTCACTATAATGTATAATATTATAACCCGTTGGCTGAAAACGCGTTTTGTCGTGCCGAAACCAGAAATTATATATAATATATGCGTTTTCGAGTATAGATACCTAAGTGAATATACAATACATCCACTCAACGGCTGTGATGATGACGGTTCGAACAGAGTAAAATTCTCCTATAATAAATTTAATCAACTGACTTCAACACTTCGATATAAACTACGAACACGAAACACATCACAAGCACATATAATCATTTTAATCATTCTGTTGATATGAGATGGTCAGAAATATAGTTATACACAACCAAAAGAAAAACAGCAGAACGTAATAAATAACTAATATACCTACTTCGCACCATGGGTAGGCCACTATTATAGGTGAAAAGTAGGAGCATGGTAAGTGCCTGCAAATATCTGGTGAGAAATTGAACTTAGGTGTTAAATTTTGTTTATATATATATATATATACATATACTGAAAACAACGATAAATAAATGGAAAAATCTTATCCGAGTGGATTAACTACTAATCTAACTTAACTGATTAGATTATTAGTTTTTCTCCTAAAAATAAAATTTGATACTGTTTACGAGTTACGAGTAGTTAGGTAGGTAGGATATACAGGCATGGCCGGATTCCACCAAAAATGTACCTTTCTTTTTCCACCAATTCATTTTTTTGCCAAATAAAAAAAATTTAGTTTAATATTCCAATAAAAATTAATGGACGATTGCATCTATTACAATTATTAATTGGACAAATAAATAAATTAAAAATCTAAAAAGTTTTTTTTTTATGTGTGTTACAGATTTTGTTTATTATTTATTGAATACAAGGTAAAGTTGTTAATAATTATAACGATTGTTCTTATCACCATTTATTACACAAAAAATACCAAAAATATAATCACTTTTTTTTATTATTGTATAAATTCAAACTTAATTATATTATTATTTTCCCGTCGTAAGATATCTACAACGTATCGTAATTTCTGCCCAATGATAAATTTAACGCTGATTTACCAACGCTATCGATAATCTTGCTATGTTGCTTGTTGTATTAGTTAATAATTAAATTTAATATCAATATTTGTATTTAAATATCATTTGACTTCGTAAAACAAATATATAATTATTGTAAGTTATATAACTTATAAAAATATCCTATAATAACTGACCTACCAGTGGCGCATTATAATATATGCGCCCCGGAGCGAAATAATTTTATTGTTACCCCCTAACCCCCCACTTATTTTCACCCACTAATATTTCATATGTGTAACTCATATCACATTCATCTCAAAATAATTTAATACAATAATTTGTTATCAATTATTACTTATTACTTTGGGGTACTAAGTGTAGATAATGTACACAATGCAGAAAATAGTCTACACAGAAGGTGACCGTATTCGACACAGAATTACTCACGGTTCTTTTATATAACAGCGCTTACAACAATTACCTATTACTTAGAAAAATAAAATCACAGATTAATCAATAATGCAATTAAATGTTATACATTTTGTGATAAAAAAAAATCAATGTACTCAATAAAACTGCCGCCTCTAAAACTGTTAAAATTTTGCCGCTAGGGGTATTCGTCCCCTTTGTCCACCCCTAGATGCTCCACTGACTTACAGTACACTTATAGTATACATATTAATATGACATTTATATTTTTTATTTAATTTTATTAAATCACCCCTGTACAACTATAACTGTTTATAACATTTTTAATATTTTTTGTGGACATTTTGAAACTTTGTTTATAATACAATGATAACGATTTATGTACAATCTTCATTAATATTCGAATATTAAACTTAATTTTTTCATACAGGGTAATTTAGTTTATACACTGTATCACACATACAGCTCTGAAAAATCCCTTTACCACACCACTATCTACGAGCCAAAAATAAATCATTGAAGACTAAAAACAATAATTCTGAGTGGTGGAGTAATATTAGAAATATTTTTTTCTGTTTTTGCCGAAGGAACCTAGATATCAACATATGTATAAAATAGATGAAAAGTTGTGAAGGTGGTAGAGGAAAAACGTAATATATAGCAACGGTATACTACTGCTAACGAAAATCAATTCTGAGCGGAGTTCAATTGATAGTGTTGCTTTGTCAACAATATATATGCCATATTATGGTATAATATAATTACATAGGCATTATAATATATTTTCTTTAATAATATTCGTTTAATATTGCATCTATTATCCCGATTCCCTACAGTTTTCTCTCAGTTTTTCCCATTTATTGGGAAAACTCAAGGGAAAAGTCAAAAAATTACCTCTTTAAGTTCCTTCCCAGTCATATTTGTTTTTAGAAAAAGTACTATCATTGTAAATCGGAGAAAAATTTCTAGTCGAAGAGTTGCGCATAGATAAAAAAAAAAAATAATAAATATACATCTTTGTAAAACTATGCACTTCTTCGCTCCACTCACATTTCACTGAACATTTCAATAAATGTTTCAAATAAAATATTATTAAACAAAAAATCCGCATTTTTCAAGATAAAATCGGAGCTGTTTTACGCATCGAAAAAGTGTATCTGAGAATAATAATAGTAGTAATAAAAAAAATAACAAATCTCAGTTAAACTGTAGCTTCTTCACTAAACCCGAAATCTAAAATATTCAAAATTCAAATGTGAACTCCGCATACAAATTTAAATTCAAAAATCAGGCTTCGAAATTTTATCGGATCTCGATCATATAATATATATTTTTTTTAAACAGTTTTCACAAATAAAATATCACCGCGATGATGCATATAATATAGTACATATTGAATACACGTTTTGTGTCAACTATAGTGATGCCGGCGTATAGGTAATCATCGTAACTTCATTCGAGTTCTACTTTTCATCATACATACTATAGACATAGCCACATAGGTATAACTTGTAAAACATTTCGCAGTACAACAACTCTATATTGTTGTATCGCGCGCATTATTTGTGTTTATAATGCAAAAAAGTGCAGTAAATATTATATATATATATATATATATATATATATATGTGTACGCTCTGCAGTATATGTACGTACACGATGTACATTTTTGTAAAGATATTATACAGATTTTCTGAAAGAAAAATAGTATTTGTTCAAGGTCCAGCGGTGCCGAGTGGTACGCGTTGTTGTTATGTATAAGAATATACATCACGTATACGTATTATTATTATTATATAGGTACCTTATACTGCGTTCGCGTGTATTGCGGATTCTAGCCACGGGCGAATTTTGCATCACCACACACCGCCGCCTGACGTACAGCATAATATAATATATTAATATATACATGATGAAAAATCCCGCGGGAGGCGTATTTTATTTTTCAATATTAATTTTTTTCCAATATTAAATTCGACAAAACGTTTACACTGGGTACGCTTGATGAATAGACAATCCCCGGCGCTCTATTATTGTCGAATCGTTTCTGGTCCGTTGGACAGTCCGTTAACGTCGGATATTCCATATACCTACACTATACCTATCCAAGATAAAGCTTTGAGCCGCACGAAGGGAGTCCTGTATGCCGCAGCCCGTACCACGGCGGAGAAGTCAAAAAACACCTCGCGCACTGGGTCGTATATACGTTATTCGCGTTATACATAATATATATTATATGAATGCGGTCTGTTTAAAAAGGAGAACCAACCAAAAGGATATTTTTTCGACGCGAGACAATAATAAACGGTGGGACGTCCACGGACGCGAGGGGTACACAAAAGTCCTATGTTTTTACGTAATGATGAGCACCTAATCAGGTGAAAACACGACCTGAATGGGTCACCTGCTGTGCGGCTCAGTCAATGGACC